TCACACACAACACACACACACACACACACACACACACACACACACACACCTGTGGATGGCAGCCGCCTCTGTCTGGTAATGCACAGGGATCAATGGGGAAACATTCTCTTCCATTCCCTGTGTACCCAGTGTTGCAGGAACACATGTATCTTGGTCTAGGACCTAATGGTAGCAGACTTAATAAGGGCAGTAAACCTCCTAAGGGTTGTCTGAAAAAAATATATAACAGCAAATAATGAAAATAAATCATTGTTAATGTAAAAAGATGAGAACAAATTTAGACTGTTTCCTCCATTGTTTATTACCTGAAAACTGTTTTGCCAGGAGGATTTACAGGGCATATACAGATTTCAAAATGACACTGGCTCCATTCAGATCGAGCCGAGTGCTAGCTAGGCCACGCCTTAATTATGGCAGGCCTACATGAAAGGAAGACTGCTTAATCCTGTAATGGTCTTTACGCCTCTCACACGTCTCCCCACGTGTCGTCCCTGCAGGGGCACAGTAATTAAACCTCAGCTCAATTTAACTGGTCGAGATCCGGCGCGTGGAGAGGTGTGTGAGAGGCGGAGAGACCATTACAGGATTCAGCAGTCTTCCTTTCATATAGGTCAGCCATATTTAGGTCGCGACCTAGCTAGCACTCGGCTCTTCTCAATCTGAATGGGGCCACTGATTATAAAACAGAAAATACGTATGTCACATCATATGCCCTCTTGTTATGTCGTGCACAAAGTAAGGCATGTAGTAAAGCAAATTGTAGCATTAGATTACAATAACATAATCAATAAATATATAACAATTTCAATACAAAATTAATTGGTATATACGTAATACATTCTCCAACAGGTAAACAACTCTGGGCAAAATAGTCGTTGGGCAATGAAAGATGGAGGAAACAGCTAGTCTAAATTTGTTCTCTCATCTCCTTATAAGCTCCCCAGCCATGGGTAGAGCACTTTTTCATGTGAACAGTCAATATTTTTTCTATACACATATGTGGTGTATATATTTTTAGTTTTATGTTAAATCTGATAATCTGTTCATTTAATTATCTCATTAATTCTAATTTAAAATCAATTTAAAATGTCCATGTATGGTAGAGAAATCAGTTAAGTCCTTGGTAGTCTGGGGACAGAGAATTGTTTCATTTTTATATTTTTTATTTTCCTAAATATATTTTAAGATACCAGGCTTCACACAACCTTATATCTCATTGATAGTTGCACTATGGGGTAGAAACTCTTTCTATAGTTAAGACTTCATATATTTAACTAGTCATTCAACACTAAGATCATATTATCAGATTCAGAACAGAGAGGCTCTTTAAGAATCTAGATCTTTCTGAGTACAGAGAAAAGATACAAACAACAAGATTTCATCTCTCCAAATCATTACTAAGGTGGATGGAGGATGACCCTTTTGTCCCCATTCCCTTCCACCAGCTATCTATAGAGTCTAATTATTTCATAGAATCTTTAATGCTCAATGTATCTTTGATTTTCAGGACATAATCCAACTAATTGTATGTATGGCTATAACACAGACTCCAGCACATGATGACAAACTTTATTTTAAAGGTAAAAAGCTAACAAAAAGACAGTTCTCATTGGTCAGTTACCTTTCCCTTTTGCTGGAATGCAAAAGATAATTATTAATTATAATAATAATTTATTTCTTAAAACTGTGCTTAATATATGTCTCAGCACTGTTTACATAATTATAAAATTGAAAACTACAAAGATCAGTTGAAAGGATGTTTACATCTTGCTGACATTTAATAGTAAATAGTAGATAATTTAGTGAATTAATTTGTTTCTATGGAGACTTAGAGTGCATTCCCAGAGATTTAGATCAATCCATCTGAATCGACCTAACTCACGCTAAATTGCAGTCAGCCAAGCATGCATGACAGTTAATTACCCCCTTACAGCTTTTAGTAGGCAGGACAGACATTTAAGCCAGCTAAGCTGACAGTGATCTAGTGAGACTCCCCATGGGGATAGATCGATCTAAAATCTGTGGGAATGGAGTCTTAGACTTTCTACATGTATCACCATAACACAAAAGACAATTTAAAGCTTATATTGCTTTTAATAATAATATATATATATATATATATATATATATATATATATATATATATATATATATATATATATATATATATATATATATATATATATAAAGACTAAGATTTTTTATTATCTTTACACAAGGAGAATGAAAAACCTATTTCACTGCACAATAAAAGTGTTATTCCTAATTCCAGTTCAAAATTCCTCAAGGCTCAAACCTTTTTCTCACTTATGGTGCCACACATGCAACAGAGATATGGTCATTATTCACATGAGTCAAACACAACATATTACAAATAAATTGAAAATTTTATCCCTCCTTATCAAACAAGTAAATTTTATAGATACTTAAGAGACTTACAGGACTTTCACCTTCACAGTCACCTTTATTTGGGATCATCTTTAATACTTTGTATTGAGGAATAGATACATTCAGTAATTACCATATTGATGACAAGAAAAGTTTCAATGAGCGTGTTCTTGTACTGTAACATTTACATGATTAATGATATTGGGATTCAGCCAAAGTTTCGGTAACACTGTACCCAAACATTTCAATTACATAATCAAAGATTACAAATAGAAAATAAAGAAAGACAAAGTCTGCTCTTTCTGGAATAATGGGTTTGTTGTGCCTTTTGTACCTTTATCCTAATGTTCTGCCTTATTTGGGGTGCCAATGATCCATAGGATTGACAAATAAATTTTCACAGGTTTGACAACCTTTATTTGCCTGAAAAACATCTACTATTATTACATGCAAGCCTAGTTAAAATCTGTTTCATGTTTACCATACCTTTGAAATGTACAGTTATTCTACTTTAGCCGTTAAAAATATTTGCAGAATGTCATAGTTTTATTGTATATTTCCATTTAATGCAGTGGAAAAAAACTATAAGCATCTTGCACATTTTAATGACATAAACATCACATTAGTCTATGATATGAAAGGTTGAAATTTTTAATAAAAAAAACTAATGATGCTTTCGGCCAATACCATCCATTTTTCTGAGTGTAGGTTACAAATTCAAATTACAAACTTTGTAAGATCAACTTGGAAAATCAGACTATAGTGTTGTGAATCAAGACTGCAGTGGCAATTATTTGAATTATTTTTCTATAATTATCATGTGCTTTTCTACTTGTCTTATCTATAAAATTTGGAAATGGGTTTTGTACAAAGAGCAATTTTACCTCTTCTTATCAGACTTGCTGCGAACATTTGGTAATTTTAATTAAAAGAAGACAAAAAATAAAAGTGGAATGGTCACTAACTTCCTGGCATGGCTAAAGTAATTTACAAAGCCATCATGCATGCCACTGCCTAATTAAAATAGGGGTCTCTCTGAAAGGTCCTGATCTCAACATCGTCAATGACTTCCAAATGTTTTGTCTTTGGGGTTTTGTAATACCTGAAATAATTCACTCACTAGCACCTGGACCTGTTCACACATAAGCAAAAGATAAACTGAAAATTTCAGAACTACATTATGTCAGTGGTTTGCAGGGTGTGATTTCAACCAAAAAATACCAAATAATATTTGGCTAAATGTGATACCATTAAGAACCTGTTAATATGATGCTCTGACACTGGTTACAATGGATTACAGTGAGGATGTTTAGTGTCATTATGACCAAATCAGATACCATTTGGTTAGGCCTGTCTTAACACAGCTGTTATGCATGTACACATTTTTCACAAGCATAAGAAGAAAATGTGAGCAATGTGTTCAAAATGGCATTATCCTCTGTGCACACAGGTCAGGAAGGAAGCCTTTCAATAGGAAACAAGAACCGAAGTTGATAATTGTACTTCTTTTGTAGGTTATCACCTCCATCTATGTTACCCAACTGTCTGAATTCTAGGAGCACTTAATCGTCCGCATTTTTAGGAAGGTAAGAATTCCAAAGTTTATTTTAAGCCTGATTTCCCTAACTGAATATGATAAATAGTATGGTAATGACTTGATTTTTTTCAATGGGAAATTTGATATAATAAAAAAAAGTCATATTCTGTATAGCTAGACATGGGGAGGGGCTTTGGAGATAATGGAGTTCAGTAAGATCTGCATGAAAAGAAAACTACAGGTCCTCCTAATTTTATGCAGTTCCCTTAGTTGATGTTTACGTATAATTCATTTTTATGCATTGTATCTCCAAATATACCTTGTCAGTCCAGACAACCTGGATTAATTATCAAAAATATTGCTGTTCCTCTAGCTTTTTAGGAGGTCATGACCGACAGTTTCCATATCTCTGCTATAGCATTTTTGGTACTTTTACTGTATAAAAATAAAATTATAGTGTAGGCTGCTTTTCATTTTTGTTGCTACCATTGAACAGGAATATTCTAATTTTCTAATATAAAGAATTTTAATGTTTAAAAAAATACAATATCTGTAAAATTCATTACCATGAGTTCCAATTGAAGATATCTTGTGCACGGACAATTAGTTTTACAATTAGTTTTAATACCCTCTTTGCCAAAATCAGACAACTGTATTTAAAACTTGTTGTTATTATATATCATCACATGTTTATCAGCAGTTCTCTACTACCTGCAGCCTTGTATAAGAAAATTCTTAACAGTTGCCATTAGGAACTGTGCATGGACACTGAAGAGTGTTGCAGCAAATTTTCTTAAAAGCACTATATTCTAAGGTTTTATTACGAATAACTTTTAGATACATCAATATATATATATATATATATATATATATATATATATATATATATATATATATATATATATATTGCTTTT